ATTTATGACAGAAGTTTTTGTCATCATGGTTGTGATTTTTTGTTTAATATCAAATTGTCATAACTAACAATGTCATCTGTGCATTCAAAATGTCATGACTGAGTGAATTTTTATAAGCCTGCATAAATCGTCATTCATGTTCATGATGTGTCATATCATGATTATAAAGGTTTTATGACAATCTTATGAACACGTGTCAATCAAGTAACGTGTTGCCCTGATTTTTATGTTGAAATGAATATACCTCGCTGTAAGGTATGTGCCTGCTATCCATCTCTTTCTTCCACTGTTGCATGAGAAGAGTTCGATACTTTTAGTTGAAAGGTCCAGAGTAAGACAGAAATCCTGTGGCAAGTAACACATCACCGACCATATCTTTGATTTGCCTCTCAGACTGAGCACTGCTTTCTCCAGCGAACCTAAGACAAATACATATGCACATACACTGTTCTGTTTGGATGATTTATGTATTATTTAAATGTAAAAGTATTCTATATAGCCAATAAGACGTAATCCTGCAAGGAATTTGAAACCTTTTCTCCACTAAGTCCATCTATAAGTGCCACGGCATTGGACATTTTCTTTTTGCATGCCTCAGCATCACCCAGCAGGTCTTGCTTCTCCTTCATGGCAGCGTCATACATCGCCTGTGTAAACATGTGCATTTATATTCCCTAAAGAGGTTAATGAACTTGAATCTCACAATTAAAAATGCAAATTTAAACATACATGTTAAATAAATGCTACATACATATTAAATAAAAATACTTAAGAAACTGTCCATTGTTGTGGATTGAAAAGTCATGGAGATTATTTGTTTCTACCTATTTTCTTTTTTTAAAAATAGAACTGGTTTTTGATTCCCAGCCGCAACTATATGCAACCACAAAACCTGTCCTAGGTTGCACGAGTATATTTGTGGTGATAGCCCATAATGTACTGTATGGGTCAAAACTAATGGTGTTTATATATATATATATATATATATATATATATATATATATATATATATATATATATATATATAT